GTGGTTAGCTTTTGACAAGACCAGAATATGTGCGTGTGGCCTACATCAGTCTGGCCACAGAATCTCTAGCATGGCTGTGAACTGGATAACATCCTGGTCCTGATCTTGGGCGTTATAAAAAGGCTAATCATGTTTTTCCAATTAAATTCCCTCCACACACGAGAGCAGGTGGCTGTGCATTGCATTTTACAAATGTTAAACCATTCCTCCTCGCTTATGTGTTCCTTCAATTCGTCCTCCCATTTTTCTTTAATGTACATAGTAGATGTCTTCCTGCCTGCCATTAGTCCCTGCTACAGTGCTGAAATAATTTGTAATTTATTCCCCTCATAGGCCTTATGAAATATCTCTTTTATTTTACTTACGTTGGTTTTTATCTCTTTCTCATAATAATCCCTCCATGATTTCTAAGTGGGAGAACTTGCAAAATAGCAGGTTGTCCAAATACTTATTTTCTTCACTGTATATCCACCTCTGAAGTGATTATAATATCTTCTTTTACTGTCTTAACCGACGCCTCTCTTTTTATGGCCATTTTCCTTAACGAATATGTGAAGAAAGTTTAGTTTAATAGCTTCAAAAGCTTAAACATAAACAGCTACATTTTGCCACAAAATAATACTGGCTGTGTGCTGTTGCTTTGCAGGATGACACAGAGGCACTGCGTGGAGGGCCAGGTCTACTCTGTGCCTCTCATTCAGCCTGAGCTGAGGAGAGAAGAGGCTGTTCTTCAGATTGCAGATGCGCTCCTTTACTTGGAGGTCATCTCTACAGACATTTTCAGAAGGTGAGCACTGCACACCCAGGGCAAATATAGCTCTACTCTCTTAATGCACATGTCTGAAATGTCGGTTTGTACAGATAAGTTGTCAGACATCTTGGTCAGAACTGGCGAATTTTTATTTCATTTTCCAACAAGTTAATAATCAACTTTTAAGTGATGTTAAGCCCTGATATTTTTGTTTTAAATTGAATTTCCCTTTGGGATTAATAAAGTATTTTTGAATTGAATTCAATTTGAATTTTCTTGTAGAGGATAAATAACGTAAACATTTTAAGCACAAAACAGCCCTCAGGAAAGGGCTGATTAAGATACTGAACGGACAAATATAAAAACCCCAGCATCTGCTAAAAGGAAGCTGTGATGGATCATGTTGTCATTTTTCTACCAGATTACATCGTTATTAAGCAGCATCTGTTTTATACCAGACGGTCCTATTTGGCATACAGCAACTAAAGGTTTCTCTTATAATAAGATGAAAAGAGATATATGTTCATGAAACTCTACCATCTGTTATAATACAAACTGATTACAGTGAGACATTTGGTGATTATTATTGGACACGTAGTTAGACTTCCAGAGAGAAATCAAATAGCACATTGAATGTAAATACTGTGATGCTTTTTTGCTTTTTTTAAGCTTTCAGCCATCTGAAGCTTTGCTTTTCAAAACGAAAACAAAAGTGTAAGATGGCTACTCTGTGCCAGCATTTAATAAGACGTTATAGTAAATATTATATCTTAAGATGTTAAAGGAAATACTCAATAACAGAAAAAGGTTATTACTGTCGAGAAAATGACTTGTGCGTAGTTTCTATGGAAACGTCTCAAACACTGTTCATAAAAACCTCTTGGTTTAATAAAGAAAAGGAGAAATGTTTGACTATTTGATCAGATTGTTTCTTGGCTGGTACCAATTTCTTTTTAAAGCTGAAACCTCAAATTTTGTGTGTTTCCAGTTTTTAGGACAATAGAAGAAAAGAAATCCTGTTGCATGTTCTTGTGATGGAAGTACCTTTTTTTTAAACTGACATGAAATTGAAGGAATATAAGAGTCATGCTTTAATCAATTTTAACCTTTATCTGTACGTTGTTTTAAAGAAACGGGGGAAAAATGTCTTTAAGCATTTAAGTTTCCATTTACCACCACTTAAAGATGTTTAAGGGAAATATTTACAACTGATCAATGCATCTGTGATTAAAATATGGCTGTTATTTGTGAATAAGCAGAAAGGTTATACATTTGCAGATTAAGATGTGTAGAAACTTTCTCTAAGATGTAGACAAATCTTTTAGAATACCTCAGACACATGTTTCCTTTTGACTGTGCATATAACCACATGTGTCCGTGGTGTTTCTAGAGTCTCTGAAAGCGTGGAAAAGAACCGCCGCCAGCTGCAGAGTGTCTCTGACCGGATCAGACTAGCGGAGGCCCGCGTCAACAAGATTAAAGGGAGCAAAAAGGCCACAAAGGTAATAAAGTTCTTGAAGCCACCATTGTAAGTGTGATGCACAGATTCATAAGGAATAATAAAAACATATTAAATGTGTTTGTCTGTAAAGGTTTTCTCCAGCGCCAAGTACCCTGCTCCAGATCGGCTTCAGGAATACTCCTCTATTTTTACCGGGGCCACTGACCCTTCCTCTCAATCCCGTCCTCGCCGTAAGATCCAGAATAAACTTCGACCTTTTGATGAGAAGACTTTACAGGTGAGAAAACTCAGGCGTTTACTCTTTCTGAAACCCACCAACCGTAACGTAAATCCATGAGTGGAATTGATACAGCCATTTTCTCCATTGTATAAAAACCAAAAGCAAACCTAAACCCACAAAATCTTACATATTAAAGCCTTTCATTTTACTATTATCCAAGTCACAATAAGTATGGAAAAAAATGAACTGACAATAAAAAAAAAAAATCCTAAACATTTATAGACTTCCATAGTCTGATATGCGACAAAGTGGAGCAATTAACTTAAATACTCAAGTAAATGATGTCATCGTCGTTGCCTTTCCGAATTCTCCCAAGTGGTACCCAACTTTACACGAGTGAATATAGTGAATGTGATTGGTCGTTTATCAAAGGGGCGGGATTTTTGCGGAAGATTTGCAAGCACTTTTGGTTGTGGCCGGTTTGTCGTAAGCATCTTGCCAACCAGTTAGCAACTTAGTGCTAGTAGGTTCCCAATGGGAAATT